ATCTGATGTCGCCGCGTTGAAGACGAAGAAGGCGAAAATTGATATGATCATATGCGTCGAGCTCTGATATGCATCAGACGCTGGGCGCAGTACGCCTTGCATACCGTTCGCGTATCGCTAGCCTCGTGAAATCAGGTATGATAGACAACGCTGCTCAGGTGTTCGATGAAATGCGTCACTCAAGCTACCGTGTTTTCTCCTCCGATTACAACCGTTTCATTGGGGTTTTGGTGAAAGAGTCTAGATTTGAGCTTGCGGAGGCATTGTATCGAGATATGAAGCCAATGGGGTTCTCTCTCATTCCTTTCACTTACTCGAGGTTTATCTCGGGTTTATGTAAAGTTAAAAAATTTGAGCTTATTGACGCTCTTTTGAGGGATATGGAAACCCTCGGATACATACCGGATATATGGGCGTTCAACATTTATTTGGATCTGTTGTGTCGAGAGAGAAAGGTTGGTTTTGCTCTTCAAACGTTCTTTTGTATGGTTAGGAGAGGTCGGGAACCTGATGTTGTAACTTATACTATACTTATTAATGGGTTATTTAGAGCTGGTAAGATCACTGATGCTGTTGAGATTTGGAATGAAATGATTCGTTGCGGGGTTAGACCGGATAATAAAGCATGTGCATCACTTGTTGTTGGGTTATGTAACGCTCGGAAAGTTGATTTGGCTTATGAGATGGTGGCAGAGGAGATCAAGAGTGCAAGAGTTGAGCTTAGTACAGTGGTTTATAATGCGTTGATTAGTGGGTTTTGTAGAGCGGGTAGAATAGAAAAGGCAGAAGCTTTAAAATCGTTTATGAGTAAGAGTGGGTGTAAGCCGGATCTTGTTACATACAATGTGTTGTTGAATTACTATTATGATAACAATATGTTGAACAAAGCGGAAGGGGTGATGAGGGAAATGGTAAGAAGTGGGATACAGCCTGATGCTTATAGTTCTAACCAGTTGCTTAAGCGGCATTGCAGGGTTGGTCCTCCTGATAAATGCTATTCGTTCATGATAAAGGAGATGGAGCCTAGAGGTTTCTGTGATGTTGTCTCCTACAGTACTCTGATTGAAACGTTCTGTAGGGCGTCAAACACTAGGAAGGCTTACAAGCTCTATGAGGAAATGAGACAGAAGGGGATAGTGATGAATGTGGTCACGTACACGAGTCTTATCAAGGCTTTTCTTAGGGAAGGTAACTCTAGTGCTGCAAAGAAGCTCCTTGATCAGATGACCGAGTTAGGTCTGTCACCAGATCGCATATTTTACACAACAATTTTGGACCATTTGTGTAAATCCGGGAATCTCGACAAGGCATATGGTGTTTTCAATGACATGATAGAGCACGAAATTACACCAGATGCGATTTCATACAACGCCCTAATAAGTGGCCTCTGCAGGTCTCGTAGAGTAACTGAAGCTATAAAATTGTTTGAGGACATGCAGAGCAAAGAATGTTGTCCTGACGAGTTAACTTTCAAGTTCATTATTGGAGGACTCGTACGGGAAAATAAATTATCAGCAGCCTACAAGGTTTGGGATCAGATGATGGATAAAGGATTCACCCTTGACAGAGATGTGTCCGATACACTCATCAAGGCTAGCTGTTCAGTGAGTGCTGATGCGTAGGCATAATATGGGTATACACCTAAAAAATTGTCAACTTTGTCTTTTCCTGTGAAAAAATGCCATCTTAGTCAATGTATGGCGGTAAGGAGATGCTGATACAGAGCCATTTAAGCTTCTACTGATGCCTGCTACTGCTTGGGGAGAAATAAGAGACTTATAAGGTTCGAACTAATTTCATTCCTATTTTACATAAGCGAATCTGTGGTTGAGTTTGCTTAGACTAACTAAACCTTTTCCTTTTTCCCCTGTTTGTGGTTCCTTGCATTTTTATAATGTGAACTAATTCTACTCTGCCTGACATGACATTATTCCAGAAGGATCATCCTTTGTGGTCAGACTATGGAACAAGACAGCCAGCTCTCTTGCATTAGAGATGCCGCAATTTCTCTTAACTCAGCTCAAACACATTCCTCAGAAATATTAGACTGAGAATGAGGGTATTGGACTGAGAAAAGAAATGTCAGTGCATCAAGCTTGTTGTTACTTGGTATGAGAAGCATGATATTCCTCCTTCAATGATACGCTTGTAGAACATTTGTTTTCAGCACGCTTGTAGAACGTAACTTCCATTACTAATGAGGTTTTAGATCTTGATATAGCTTAAGACTCAATCGATCTATGCTGCATCTTTCAGCCAAAAGGTCGCCTTAGACTGTATCTCATTAGTTTTTTTTTTTTCAAAAATTTCTCAGGACTGTGTTTCGAAACGGGTCAGCCTTTTCTTTTTCTTGTCATGATTCTGCATATTTTCATACACTGACATATTCTTTAACAAAATCAACTTTGTCTGGAACCTTTCGATGGCACATGAATTTCAATTTCATTGTATCTGTGTAACTGTTTTATCACCGACTCCTAACTCTATGCTTCAGCCATATCATTTACTATGGGTATTTGTGTACTGATGCAGAACTAAGCCTGTCATAAGCGCGGAATGGGAAGAGGAAAGTAAAACGCAAACATTCTAAGACAAAACGGCAATTAATCTTTGCCATAATGGGGTACCTGTAAGCTCTTACCTTTCCCTCTCTCTCTCCAAGAACTGTATTGAATTTATGGTACTTTAACAGAAGGCAAGGGAATCAGACCTGGTATTTATGTTTTCATTTTGAAAACTTTTAGATGATAAAAAAGAAATGATGTTTCCAGTTTCTTCTGCTTGATATTAGAGCGAAGAATATGTAAAAAAGATTACTTGCTTCCTTGTGTCAGTTTCCTTTAACAAGAATCCTACTTGAACTTATCATCAAGTTATCATCTCTCTCTCATTTAGAAACACCCAAATTTTCTCTCTTTCTTGCTTTCACTTAGCTCCTTTCTCACTTGATTGATACTTCAATGTCTCACCACCACTATGAAACCAACCCTCATTTCGTTCAGTTTTCGTTGCAGGATCAACATCCTGGTGGTCCCTCTAGCTCATGGACTGCTCCGCACCACCACCAGATCCCGGAGACTCACTCAGTTGGTCCATCCGGGGTAAAAATAAAGACTCGAGGACGCCACCAGACTGAGCCACCTGAAGCAATCCATGAACTGCCTTCCTCAAGACCATTGCCACTGAGGCCAGAGGAACCGTTACCACCACACCATAATCCCAACTCCGCCAGGCCATTGCTATTGAGTCCTGAAGAGCAACAACGAGCTCCACAACGTGGCTATGGATCTGAACCAACTCCATGGAGAACGGCTCCAACACGACCAGCGCATCAACCAGGTCCAAAGAGGACCAAGCCCGTGAAATTGTCAGCTACAATCTGCTGTGCAATTCTCTGCGTTGTCCTGATTCTCGCTGGCCTCATCCTCCTCATCGTCTACCTCATTAACCGTCCACGCTCACCGTACTTTGACGTAGCAGCAGCAACCCTAAACACAGCGAATCTCGACATGGGCTACGTTCTAAACGGAGATCTCGCCCTTGTGGTAAATTTCACAAACCCAAGCAAGAAAAGCAGCGTGGACTTCAGCTATGTGATGTTCGAGCTCTACTTCTACAACACACTCATAGCGACTGAGCACATCGAGCCATTCATTGTACCAAAAGGAATGTCAATGTTCACAAGCTTCCATCTCGTGAGCAGTCAGGTACCGATTCAAATGATTCAGAGCCAGGAGTTGCAGCTACAGCTCGGAACCGGTCCTGTCTTGTTGAACTTGAGAGGAACATTTCACGCTCGCTCGAACCTAGGATCGTTACTGAGATACTCTTATTGGTTGCACACACGTTGCAGCATTTCGTTAAATAGCCCTCCTTCAGGGATCATGCGAGCTAGAAGATGCAGTACGAAACGCTAGCGATTTGCAGCGTTGTGCGTCTGAGTATATTGCATTTTTCCTTTTTGAAGCATTTGATGATTATACAGGCAAATAGATATTTTTGTAATATTGTTTTGTAAATTTTCACACACGTTGTATAATAGGATTAATCCAAAGTTGCATCTAATTTGATATTATTTCTAGGTTAATTGAAATAAATACACAATCATTTTTTTATGTAAATGATGCAGCTAGCTTTACTTATTTACTTGTTCAAATCCAATAAACCCCTCCCGTTACTTTTTTTATAAAAGTGAAATAAGCTCGAATAAAGTCTTCAGCTTTACATATGTTACACAAGAAAGAAAGGAATTGATCCCCAAGGATATTAATTAATGCGAAATAGCACTAAACAAACTTTTATTTCTTGCAAAAATTATTGCATTACAGTTTTATTTCATCTCAGTTAACATTTGTTGTCACCATTGTTAAACAAGTTGAAAAATGTGTAATTAATTTAAGAAGAAAAAATCATCGGGCCAATTAATAGTAAGTAACCCCAATAAATTGAAAGCCCAGTTTGGCCCATATATTCTCCAATTTGGTTTGCCCGGAGCTCAAGAAACGATCTCTTCGTTTTCTTCTCGTCTTCGTTTGAGTTACTTCTTTCTTCGTCTCGATTTGATTATTTTTCTTCACTAAGGTACGATTCCGATCCTTAATCGAGCTCCACTATCGTTGATTTTGGCTTCTCACGAAAGATGAGGTTTTAGGGTTTTATACAGACACAAATGCATCTCGTGCTAGATCTGATTTGAAATTTGGAGAGAAAAGCTTTTTAATTGACATCTGATTTTGGGCTTATCTCATGATAAGCTTCTCCGATATTCGAGTAGAGATACTTGGGGATTTTTCAATTTGGTTTTTTTTTTTCATGATTCTGTAGGGTTTAAAAATGAAGCTTGATACTAGTGGGTTCGAGACATCCATGCCTATGATTGGATTTGGCTCGAGCAGCGATATGCTTGATGGGTTTTCTTCTGTGCCCTCTTTTGATCTTCCCCGCACAACAGATGTGAG